ACGATGATCTAATCCTTTATCATCATCTGAATATTGAAATAATTTCTCTATCTCAATTTCACGAATAACAATCTAGGTGCAAGGACCCTCAGACATATATTATATCGTCAATAATTCATAATCTGTCATTTTCATACCTTCTTTAATAACAAAATTTAGAATTTGGCAATCACATAATGATGCTTATCGTTTTAAATGACCCAAAAACCAGACCTCTTTCATAGTTGTGGCTATGTGGTCCCTGTCATTACTGGTGATCTCGGCATTATCGATGCAGTCTTCGAGGTGTACTCGTCACCACACAAAAAATCGAGAAGTACCATCGATTATCCGGTCAAGTCTTTTCCAAATCATCATGAAAGCTGTCGGAGACTATACCAACAATTAGGCAAAGTGGGAAAAGGTTTAGTTTAATGCCTATTCTAAATTGATACTTTCTTGATGTAACTGAACACCCAAATGTTTGAGTTTTGTAAATTCCAGGTTAAACATAAACCTATCTGTTTTACTTGATTCCAATAAAAATAAATAGTTAACCGACCTCCCAGGCAAGTTGGTAGTCAAGCCAACAGACAAAAAAAATATCAACAATGTTGAAGAATATTCACGCAATTTGCATTCTTCACGATGAGTCGGATGTCATACCAGGTGTCAAAACTTCCAATAATATTAAAGAATATTCAACAACTTAAATGATTTTAGTCGCACCATCTGACAAAAAATGTCTACAATGTTACGTTATATGTAACCAACCTCCATGACGAGTCGGCGGTCAGACCAGGTGATAAAACTTCCACCAACATTATCGTTGTCCGTGTATGTCATGATGTAAACTGTTTATGATAACAGCTCCAGTGATCAATATGTCATTGTTTCACGTGTAAGCAGTGTTTCACCAATGACTCGTATCATTTATTTTGTTTTGAACATTTTTTTTCAATGTTCCTCATCGTTTTCCTTTTCCAATTTTCTTCATGTTTAATTTGAAACCACGTCTTAAAGATTTGGTTATTGTCATTTCTGTTGTCGAATGAAATGAGACTAGGAATTGCAAAAGAAATATCATTATTTTAATGATTCATTTATCATTCTCATCATTATAAATAAAGAGTGACAAAACAAAGCACGGAGATACATGGAGCGATATTATGGTTATTTGATATGTATGCTTCCAAGTCCAATTTTTAAATATAATAGTCAGGTAGTATTTGTTTGACTTAGATGTTAGCTTAAACTTTGGACTCACCACAGTTTAGAACTGTTTATATTATAATTGTGCAAATTTTCGATTTGATTTCACTTGCGGTATTTGTGGAATATTCACGTCGTTTTGGATACTACAAACAATAATCATAACGATTTTTATCTCGACAATCGGGAAACATTGCCATAACCGTCTTGAAACGTCACACCTCATCGCTAAAAGCATAAACATACACTGAGGATGATACTGTCCTAAGTATTGAAAAATGTATAGGTGTATAGCCATTTATTACTAGCAAGTGTATAGCCAATTATTACAAGCAAGTGTATAGCCAGGTATTACAAGCAAGTGAATAGCCATTTATTACAAGCAAGTATATAGCCATTTATTACAAGCAAGTGTATAGCCATTTATTACAAGCAAGTGTATAGCCATTTATTACAAGCAAGTGTATAGCCAATTATTACAAGCAAGTGTATAGCCAATTATTACAAGCAAGTGTATAGCCATTTATTACAAGCAAGTGTATAGCCATTTATTACAAGCAAGTGTATAGCCAATTATTACAAGCAAGTGTATAGCCAATTATTACAAGCAAGTGTATAGCCATTTATTACAAGCAAGTGTATAGCCATTTATTACAAGCAAGTGTATAGCCAATTATTACAAGCAAGTGTATAGCCAATTATTACAAGCAAGTGTATAGCCATTTATTACAAGCAAGTGTATAGCCATTTATTACAAGCAAGTGTATAGCCAATTATCACAGGCGTATAACACGTTATGACAGGCGTATAGCACGTAATCGGAGGCGTATAACACGTTATCACAGGCGTATAACACGTTATCACAGGCGTATAACACATTATCACAGGCGTATAACACGTTATCACAAGTTATAACTAATAAGAATCATAAACCTTGTGTTGAACCAATTATTACAAAAGCATAACTTGTTATCAAAAGTGTAAACACGATTTTGTATGTGTGATCAATTGTAATAAGTGTTTAGCAAATTAAAGGTGTATAATCAGTGTATACTTAGTAACCCATGACAAAATGTAAATATTTTCAGGTGAAGTGGCGGCTAGAGTCAAATTCAAATACTGCAATCCCAATTTGTAATTGGGTTTTGTACATATATACTGTGACAAATGCCTCTGCTTCAATGCCAGAATGTGATGAATGTGATGAGTTACGTAGATTTAAAATAATTCCACTTTCGTCGAAAAAATTGTTAGAATTCAATTGTCATAATAGCATAAATTGAACTAATTATTGATGTGTATAATGGTGTCTCAATACACCTACCAGTTCTGTATAGTCCTGTCACATATGTATAACGGTAGATAGTACATTCACCTCTGTATATATAGTTCAATCAGTTGTTTGATAACTTCTGTTAAATAATTTATTTTCTCAGATTTGAATCAATATCAACGAAACTAACATGAGTATGCCAATAAATAATAATTAGAAATAGTATCTGTACTTGTTGTTCTTATTCTTTGCAACGCATGTCAGCCATTTTGATTTGACTGAGCTCATCTCCGGGTATATTCATATAACGCGGTCGTAATGTTACCTATACATTGGATAAGACATTATCGTAAAATGTGCGAAATGCACCACGAGGCCAGATAAACTGTATTGCAAGGCTTACTCAGGGAACAATCTTGGCAGTATGACTTTGTTCGTCTCTTCATGTCTTTCGATGGTATATATGGTTATAAGGTTATGACCAAGGTCCTCAATCACCAGCGACGGGTTGGACCCAGGGTCAGATCCTAGTAGCATTATGTGGTTGGTTTGACTACTGGATAACGAACTACCCCTTCACCAAGCTGCCGGGGTTCAATTCCCCGATCGGACGTGAAAAGGTTTTGGGTCACCTGCCCGACCAAGTGGCTTTTACACTAGATCTTCTTCACGCTTCCATCCGGGACATAAAAGTTATTAATATAAGTTAGACAGCTTGTTCCATGGTTTTTGTAAAATAAATAAAGCTTGTAAAATTATGGTCACTCAATCAATAATAAACACCGCGAGGTGCCGCACCTCCCAACGTTGGGTCACCTTGACCTAACAATGCTCCAGACCTAATAATTGACCAATAGTGTTTTAAACGGACAGTGGACGGACGGACGGACGGAGGACCCCTTATAAGCTTTTAAAGATATATTGAGACAGTATAAGAAACCGTTTACACAGTTGGTATACATGAATCGATTATTATAAATAGCAGTGTTTTAGAAGATGCAAAAGCGCGAGATAATATACATCCGTACAAGAGGAAGAGGGAGGTAAGGATAACTACTGAGCCTTATAAACGGTGATAAGTCAGCTGGTTGTTGAATTGGTAATATCACCCATAGTATGAATCGCGTGAGCGCTGGCACCGATGCTTACACACTATGAGTTGTTAGTTTCACTCATGTGATTTAGTGGGGGAAGGGCGTATTCGCGAAGGCAGGTAAAAAAATGTGTATTACTCCCGCTCGTAGTTTTAAACGTTTACAGTTTGCAGTACAAGATAAACCTCTATGTTTTTGCATATTTTTTATATGATATAGATAAAGACAAGGAGTATCAAACGCGTTGTGATACCACCTATTGTTGACAATAAATCAGATTGAAATGATTTACTGAACGTTTCTACATTGCCGGTTAGTATACCTAAGGTATCGTAAACATCCTGGTGGGGTCGATTTTCCGCCTAATACCAAACACACACCACTGATACCGGCCCCCTGTGTGGTTAGTTCCTTCTGACAAATCACAAACGTATTTTCATTGTGAAATAATTTAAGTATTCCCTAAGAAAGTCAAGTGCACTGATAGTAGAATTACATGAAAATACTTCCGATTTTCTGATAATATCGTGATAATGGGAGTATAATGTAAATACAGAAATCTCTAAAACCACTTTGCTCGCGAACTGATTAGGTTCATATCCCTATAGCTCTAATACGAAGTTTACACCGGCGATCTATTCATAAATATCGAATCAGAAAATACATACACAGATATTCCTAAGAAAGAAAGCTTTCGGGCAAAAAAAAATCTTACACGGTAAAAAAAGTATCAATCTGAAATTTAATGTTATCATGTCATTATGTTTATGAATCATGACCAAACAGTTTCATTTCTATGTTAACGCAGCACGCGATCGTAATCAAATAAACGCAACACGTGATTGCAATCAGACGGAAGCCTGTGATATGTTATATAAGCAACAAACGTCAGCAGAAACCCGCAACATACTGTGACGACAGTATAGATTTACCTCCCCCACCACGCAGACTTTTAACAGATGCATATATCAATACAATCTGAAACATATAAAATCCTGTCAAACCCAAAAACCATAGCTTATTTGTGACACATTAATGATAAAACTATTTAGTGCACTAATTGTTCACGCATTATAACACTCAAATTATCATACAAATACATCTTTGGTTTCATAAGCGATGTAATCTTTTCTTCAACATTATATAGACTGTTACCTCCAGTATATGTAAAAACTCAAGTTTGCTTTTTAAATTCGGCATTATTACAATATACACATCAAGCTGTTAACTTCTTGAATTGTTTAAATACTGCTGAGGATTACATATAGGTATGAGTTTTAAAGTCATCCAATGCTATCAGATTTGAAATCATCTAAAAGCATACGTTTAGATATCAGTCAAAGAAAACGGTACAACGAAAAGAGAGAAACATTTAATCTTTCGTTAAATCAACATGTTTCAAAATCATATAGATATTATACAATTACAAACACTGTCCAAAGTATCTGTTCAGAGATGAATGCATGTGTATATGACCTGACTTTGTCAGATTGTATAATGTATATAGAATATTGACATGCTTTGGGTGAATATCTTAATACCTACAACTCATTGCACGTGAAATCCTCATATATAATATGTCAAATATCCGGGATCTTTGAGTTCACTCTTAGATATCTACAACTTCGTAACCTCTCTATATCCTCCGGTCCGGGCAGTACAATCGTATGTTCTCTAGGAATATAACCTATCTTAATCTCATCGGAAGTCTGTTTAATTTTCTCCTTCCTCTCTTTGATTTTATCTGCAGTTGTTCTAGCCATTTTCTTCCTATGGGACCTTGAGGGGTCTCGTAAACCCTTGTGCTCAAAATAGGATGTGGCTCGGTGAGGATCGCTCCTCCTGAAGAACAGTCTTCTTTCCAGGTTCTTCACTGACTCCGATACAATAATGTTTTGTCTGTGTGCCGTTTTGACCAAGTCGTAAAATATCTTCCTGTAGTTGTTCTCTGTATTGGTTTGTGTGTAACTGACCTGTATTTTCTGTAAACCAGGCCTAGCAGGTGTTAGATATTCGTTAGCCCTGCTAAACGTCTTACCCTGTCCATGAAGAAAAGTCTTAGACTTCTCGAGGGTCGGGTCATACTTAGAATCTGTCCTTCGTAATTCTTTGTTTGAAGTGCAACGTTTCACTTCATTGCTATCTTCGCTTGCAATTGTAACACTTTGCTGTCTCGACGGATTTTCTGCGTTTGAGTTACAAGAGTTCACATTCTCGCAAGAATCATTGTAATTGGCTCCATTTTCAGTCGAAACTGCTGTCACAGATTTGCGTCTTTGCTGATTACGAAATTTATCCAAAGCAGGCACCGAATCACAACTAAAACTACATCTCTTTTTGACAAACGACTTGTAATCAGCCGATGATTTACTGACGGTGGCAGATCTTACTCTTCTCTTGCTATGACATGCAGTGTCTGCTGGGGGTCGTGAGCCCACATTGGAGTAGGATGTAACACACCTGAGTAGATCCAATCTGTCTTCGGACGCGCTTGACCCCGAGGATATCCCACTCGTTATGCTTTCCAATGAAATGGCCTCAATAGCTCTAGCGAGGTTTCTCATGTGTTCATCAGTTTTTGTAGTTAACTGTTCAGCACTATTCTCATTTAAGGAGACACCCTCACAGTCATCGATATCGTCAAAACATCCCGAATCCGGCGTCTGGCCTTTAGATAACATTACATCTTTATTCTCACCAGTCAACGATCCTTTCCTTTGAGTTAGACACAACTTAGATCTATTGATTTCTAAACTATCAGATGCAGAGTCCAGCGACATGTTTTATCTCTTCAAACGTGGCATATCTTCTCTGTCTTGTACCGGTGAAGATTGCTTTTCCCTGTTATAGACTCTCCTAAAGGGCGTGTGCCATTAGTCACCTTTACTTCACAAATGACACAATACATTTGCGGTCCTCTGTCTTATGTCCAAGTATATTTGTGGCAGACGCAGGTGTTTGACAGAATAATGAGATAGCTGACATCATAAATAAGAACTGATTTCAATTTATAGACATGTTCCTAACCTGCTTTCCTTGGCATTTTCGTTCCGTAGAAATGTGAAATCAAACGATCTTATAATCTCTATATTAGGCGGCTTATATTTACGATAAGCCGTCCAACAGTGCTCATGAGATAATAAAACTGCCACCCCGAATGTGGAGGGATATTTACGAGGTGTACTCGGCTATATTGAAGCATCCGTGCCACTGCACATCTCCACGATTTGTTTGTTTTCCACATACAAGAATCCCATTAATTGGTTTTCAACAGCTCTCCACTGATCTGTTAACGGCTTGGCGAGAGTTGTCGTATATAGCCCCGGTAACCAGTGAAGGGCAATGAGCATGAGATTTTTGTTGACTTTTTATCAGAAATACCTTTAATCAGTTAGCGATATTAATGCTTTATTGCTACTGCTCTTTAGAAAGGCTAGGTTCCATTCCCCAGGGAAATGTGATCGATCTAGATACGGAGGCTTTAAAGACTGCCGTATAGTAAGGGGATGGCGGAAATTGAAACCCTGTTCTCAAAGAAATAAGCTACAAGACAGTGGACGACGCCGGTCTATAATGGCGTATTCTAATCCACGTCAATATCCAATAGGAAGTGTGTGATATAAGACTGTTTGATTTATTACTCAGTGTGTCTATTTGGTGGAACACTGTCCGGCCTTTCAGTGCGGGAACATAATTGCAACTAGGCTTTAACTCAATAAACGCATAGCTTAATTTACATATATTAGGCTTAACTCGATTTATTGCATAAATTCTTCACCGTGGGATAGAACTAAAGTTATGACAACTCGGGTTAGATAATACTGGTAATATAAGTTGGAAAATTAAAAAAATGCAAAAACGTCGAACATAATAGATTTTTTTTTTTAAACCGCTAGTATAGTAAGCAGAGTTGCATAAAAGACAGTAGTGCACTGTATATAGACAGTAACGTAACGTTATTTATTACATTTATTTTTTAACCTGTGAAATATTGAAAATCATTTATTATATAAAAAAAAAAAGATATTTATTGAAATGATATTTTTCTCTGATGAAAAATATCACGTTTGCTGGTTTGACCAATCAAAACACTGATTACAAACAACCGTGAGAAAATGTTTCAAGTAGATAGCGTGACATTATACAAGTGGCCCGAATTAGCATAGCCTGAATAGCTTAACAATATGCAGGCTTCGAGAAAATCCGTCTAAGTAATCAACCCATTCTACTGTCCAGAATAAGCATATGTTACCTATCATGGGCGAACTATTTTCTGGGAGAATTACAGTATTTAATTCCATAGTTAACTTTCATTTTCATTGGACTATGCAGATCAGCAATTCCAACAATTTGATCGGAGGGAATTCGTGTCAAATGAAACACGGTGTCAGTGTCTTCATGTCCCAAGTTAAGCTAAGCAATTGGCAGAAAGTACAGGGAACCATTGTCATCTCTGACAATGACAGTGATTAAGTATATGTGGTGTTGATATTTTATCATCAGGATGAGTGGTGACACATCAGCGATGCATTTTCCAACTCCTCACTATTTTAGATTCGGCGCTAATCAACAATGCGTAGTGATGAGTTGATTTGACGGAAGTTATATCAAATAATTTAATTATGAAAGTAATTTGACATCCTTTAGGTAAAATATGAACTAAAGTACCTGCTTTATCAAAATAAGTAATTAAAGGAATTTAAGGAATATTGTTTCTAATTTATTTTTGGGGTAGTTCCTGTTCATTTGCGAAACTCTTATTTCATTGTACATGCGGTTTTATACTCTAATAAGTTTCGTATTATTATCTGCCTTAAATCGAAGCTAATTTATAGATAAATGTATATTCATTGCCACCTTTTCCATTTGAAAGTTGACGTTCGATTATTTGTTTATTTAGGGTTTTACGTCCTGGCAACAGCTACGATCAGGCTGTGTCCACTTGTGGTGGGGCTATTCAAGGACCACTCTAAAGTCCTGCTGCATTGAAATACCATAACCTGGACACGGTACAGCATGACACTCCACGTGCACTAGGTCACATTATTCGGACGACGGGCTAAGCAGGAGTGTTGTAAAGAAGGCAATAGATTGACTTTGATTTGTTTAACCCTTTCACCCCTATGTAACTTTAGTAGACTCAACCATGCATTGATATGAGTGAGTTAATTATGGTCTACGGAGGTGAAAGGGTTAAAGGGCACTCTCGTCTGTGTCTTCTGATTAGTAGACGTTGAAGAAAGCTAACTGATCTGCTGTCCCCATTGTAATATTTTGGATCTTTATAATATGTATTATGGCCCGATATGGAAAACCAAATAGCATACATATATTTTAACGCCCGAATTTCGGGAAAGTGTGCATTAGGGATTGAATTAGGGCTTACGTGCACATTTGCTTGAATTTGATAGGTCCAAACATCAGGGGTGTGATCAATCACTCAAAATTCATGCACCGGTGCCTATATCCATACAGGTGTTCCCCAGTACTATAAGCTGCGAAAGAAACTCCTGAAGGATTTAGGAAACAAAATGTCTGCTGTATCCTTCTGCATATTGTCGTAATAGTGATAAATATGGGGACTCCTGAAGCATTAGAGATTTCCTTTCGTGTTTTATGCTTAGGAGAAATTGAAGAATCCAAAATTGATTAGTTGACTTGAAACATATTTTATTAACCAAAATTGGAAAATAGGATTTGGCACAAGTTATTACAACTTATGACGCAAATGATTAGTTCTGTCGTCCCAATTGCAGTACTTGGGACCAATATGTTTTCTTTTCTGACTTTCCTTTTCTTTCTTTTTAGCTATGTCTCCCACGGCTCCCGTCTCCTTCATATGATCTTGGTTGCTGTTGAACTTGGGACGTTAAACCCCTAACAAACGCGTGAAAGGAGGACGTCCTGGAACTATACATGCTCTTAATTGAACTTTTACGATTTGAATCTTAAAATGTAATGTGTTTCGGGAAAATTTGGCGAGATTTTACTCGATTACGCAATCTACCTGGAACGTAACAAAGAATGATTCATAAAAATATAAGATGTAGCTTCCTTCTCCGTTAACGTATCGCTCCAAAAATCATACATTGTCCAATCTTGTGAATGTGCCAGAGCAGGATCGGTTTGGACACGATTCAGAACAAACATTTTCCACGAAACAGGAAAACCTACTGATTTCATCAGTTGACGTGAAATGTGTCCGCCTTTATGATGGAATACCTGTACAACCCTGTGTAGAGTTGAGCGTTTATCAATGCATCAATATGCCTGGTGCACCGCGCAGCATGTCGTAAGGGGATTAGTCTTACTGCGATCTATATCTGCCATTCAACATCCGCTTAGAATGGCGGTTCATAAAGCAGACGACAAATAACAAAGGCATTACGCAATTACAAGAATAACTGAAATGTGTCCCAAACACAATTGGTTTTTTTATAGACAACTGATAAAAATGTGTGCTGGATTCTTAAGTGTACAATCGGGCACATTACGTTCTGATTATAGCTACAAAAAAGCAAAACAAAAGTTCTACACAATACAAAAAAATGGCATTAGAAATAATTAAACGTTCGTGTTGTGTGACTGAATAAGTTCAGATTTATTTGGCCGTATATAAGACTTGGGACTCTACGAGATAAATTGTTTCAAGTTTTTTATTTATTTTTTATTGTTATTATTATAATCCGAAAGTCAAGTATCCGTATAGCAGACCTGTAGCATACCATACATGATATGTAGACACTTGTATGGCTTGGTACGGTTTTCTTTTTATTTAATTAATGTTTTAAAGAAGAGACCGGATATCCCTAATCTGATTGATTTATTGATAGCTTTATGACTCAACCTTTTGTCAACTGAAAAAAAGGGATTGTGTGTTATTTCGAAAAATAGGAACAATTTCGTCCTGAATTGAACAAGAGTTTATTGTTCAAATAATTGAAAATGTCGAGAATAGATTACTATCTGATTTGTTGTTGTTCGCCCTGTCAGAGTGTACTTTCCCTTTTGTTTACGTGGAGATTTTGCCTTCAAAGTAATAAAGTATTACATGCAGAGGGAGAACAGACACTTAGTAATTTATCAGTACCAAATAATTATAATATATCATTTCTGATTAATTTACTTATCTTAAATATTTAAAAATTGTTTTCTTCTTGATTTTTTACACTGTGAATATTTAAATGGCGTTAAAAGTGTTGGCTTTGGTACCGAATTATAAACATGTTAACTGTTGAAAGGTACACCGGTCGATCTCTACCAAGTGTAGCACTTTTGTATCTCAATACTTGTGTCAAAGTTGTTGTTGATGAAAGTATGTTTGAAATGTAACAGCCGACTACTAGTATAGTCTATAGATGGATTCAGTGGATGGCCGATCGCGGATACGGTGTACGAACTGTACTGTAGATCAATCCAGACACATCATCATCATCATCATATCATCCTATGTTTATTTCCTCAAATCTGAGATACATTTACATCGAAATCAAATAATAAAGAAGGGTAATAAAGTACATTTAGTACTGATATGTTCTATGTGCATACATGTTTAACATACGTACTCCATAGTATGTATCAATTGACATAGATATCAATGTATAATACTGTAAATTATATTGATATTTCGTTATGGTTAAATTATTATTTATATAAATACATTCAAGGATTTAAAGTTGTACTTCTTCTAATCATGAAAATACCCTTATTAAACCTCATTGTTCGTATTTATTCTTAATGTATCGTAAGAAATAATATGCAATTCTTATACGAGTATTGTGTCCACTGTATACCGTCAGTTTAGGCATATGTTNACACTCCTGCCAGGCCAATGCCACAGACCAGAGAAACAACTCCATGGCTGAAAAGGAGAAAGAGAAAAACTCCTCTTAATGAGAACACAATGATGTAAGAAAAAACGAATTAAAGATTTTCACACTCATTTATTAAACAAACTATATTCAAAATGGGATTCTTTTTATTGGAATGTCACATTTCATGTCATATATATACAATACATAGTACTAATCATTTGGGGGAAAAGAAAGATCCACAATACTATGTTAATTTCACTACATCTTGTAACAGTTAACGTTGTAGCTATATCAAACCAGTATATATGTTTATGATGATAATTGTAGCTTATACTTATATTTTGTGTTTTTTTCAGGGGTGTCACCTATGGATATGCTTTCACTATCAGCAGAATTGCATCAACTGTGGTCAACTGTAGAGATGCAGGAAAAAAACATCAGCGAGCTGAAAAAGAAGCAGCAGCCCATAACACCATTTGGAGTGCTTTAAATTGGGGTTGAACAGTATCAGTCCGAGAGTTATCGTTCTTGATTTAAGCTCTTTTGTGGGCGAGATAAAAATGTTAACATGACCATAAACAAAAATAACCCGGGAGCGCCAGAGAAGTCCGTCTCTTCGTCTTAGACTTTAACGGGGATGTATGACATCACAACGTATCTACGACGACCTTCGGTTCTGGTACAACACAATTCTACTCTCAAATAAGATGGCACCATTGACCATGCTGTCGCACATCAGACGGGCATTCTGCACAAGGACACACAGTTTGCAAACCGGTAGCAAAGCATCGCTAACGAAAGTGTTTACAGCAGAAGAAGTGAAGACATTTTCCGAGATCAGTCAAGACAAAAATCCTATTCACATCGATCCAGAATATGCTGCAAATACTAGATTTGGGAAATGTATTGTCCATGGCGTTTTATTAAACGGGTATGATTTAATCTGAAAGTGAAGTGCAGCTTTAATTCATCTATACACATTTATGTACATATGTACAATGTCAAAATACAGGTAATACCCTCGCCAGTTGTTACATCTGTGTTGACAGACAAGGCGAGTATGTGTATCAATACAGCCACATGGTCACACCTATTTGATATTTGAGTGAAGTAGAAAAGTTTTAAAAAGAATGCATTATACTACTGAGGATCTTCTATTATTTATTTATAGCTATTTATATATTCTAAAGATGTAGATAGTAGGACGTGTAATATTGTAATAGGAAAGAGAAAATGCACAGCTAGACCAGCATTCAAACCGGGGACCTTCAAACTCCAGACAGATGCTCTTACTAATTGAGCTACCCCTTTGCCAATGATTGACCCGGTCCAGTTTCAATATATTTTCTCCTTTCATTTTCTAAGTCTTCAGGGAAGAAGACAGCACTATTTAAATCCCAGGCTCGAGTAACCCTATGCTTAGTAATAATATTAATACCCAGTCTCATCATCTCCGGCCGAGATACAATATATAAAAATTGTCTCGTCATCAGAAGCTACATTATCACAGCTACCCCTTGCTGAGCATACACACTATATAACTAATCAAAGGTTCTCACAGGCACCACTGTAATATGTTGTTTGCAAGGCCAGACCAGAATTCTAACCTTGACCTGTCAACTTAAGACAGACTTCTAGACCAAGTGAGCAACCTGGTCACTGGCGATGAACTCAGTCCAGTTCAGGTTAAATAAATCATTTAGGCTTATACACATGTACACAACATGACATATGTACAGGCATATATATACATGTATATACATGCATGTGGTGATGGATTAATTGGATTGCCATTCTCTATCCAGAAAGATACTTGGTTAGTGCCTGCCTTCTAACTTTATAGGCAGGTAGTCATAGTCATGGAACTGGTTTGAATGGGAATTGATGGTAAACTAGCTCTATCATTAGATACATACAATGCAGCAAGAAAAATATTTTTTGATGTGATTTCTTTCATTGGACCAGTAGTTCAGGTAGATTAATTATAGACTCTCAGTTCATGATGAGCCGTAAGTAATTGGTTATCACAGTGACATTTAAGGTTGTAAGGCAAGTTTTTATCACAGCGGCCTAATCCATATTTGGGCTAGAAAGAATTTCCCTTCCACTCAGTTTATAGAGTGTCAGGCTGGGAAGCTCAGGGTAGCTGATTCAATTCCTGATGAAAGGAGTATTTCACACTACTGTCCATCTCATACAGTCAGGAAATGGATATTAATGATAAAGTAGTACTGGATTTAAATTACCTCTTCTGTCAAGTAACCAGAAAAACAGACTGTTAGTTCTTAAATGATCAGGTAACCAAAGTAATGGGTTTAAAACAGTTTATATGGCCAGTGCTCTCTATGGTCAGGTAGTAATACATTGCCTGTGACCTCCTTGGGCTGATGATGGTATATTGTCTTTGATCACTATGGTAAGTTTGAAATGAATAGCCAGTAAGATCAGGTAGTTATGGCTGCTTTGGGCAGGTATAGTCTTGGAATATCAGAGACCTAGATGCTCAGGTACATAAAGGATTTTCTCTGGTGTCTATGGGTTATGGGTTGTAAATGACCTCTATGGCCAGGTAGTGATGCCAGACAGGGATGTACAAATCTACAAACCCGACATTCAAGGTTATTAGTTTTATATCTGGGTCAGTGAAATATTTTTCAGATTTACTATGAAAATGTAAGTTGGTGTAATAGATGAATTCAACATTAACCTGCAGTTAGTACTATAAATAGGAAATTGTACACCCCAGGATAGGTTGACTGGACTGTAAATGGTGTCTATGGGCAGGAAGTATTGGTTTATCGCAGTGAACTCTCTGGTTAAATAAGAATAGGTAATGATTGCAAATGCTCTAAAACATTTCAGTCATTAACAAAATTACATTCTAGTTTTTCGAGTGAAGTGCTGGTATTGTAATTTCAGTTTTTGATTTGTATTCACAGAAGTGCCCTAGACAAGTTGTTTGACCTCAGATCATGATAAAAATTCCAAGATGTCATATGCGTGGAAGAATTAAACTAACCTTGAAAATAAAGTAGTAAAGTATATTACAAAAATAGTACCTATAACTTACATGAGAAAAAATTATATTAATCTCATCAAAGCAAAAAATAAAATTAAAGAATATATAAATTCCTCTCCCTACCTACCTACCTACCTTATTTTATTGTCCAAACAGGAACCACCTATTAGTCTGTTTAGCCTGGTATGAAGTTTTTCAGAAGATGACAGTTATCCAGTTTAAGATAATAAAGTCTTGCTATTTACATTAGAAAAGGTAGCCTCAATACTATTACTATTGACTAACAGGATTGTACCTTTGATTTATTGTATAGTTTACTGTCAGCGGTGTGTTCCACCAAGTTGCCAGGACCGGGTGCTGTATACCTGTCTCAGGAATTAAGATTTGTGGCTCCAGGTAAATTTGAGAAATACTTGGAAATATATTTTTTATATGCTAACTAGACCAGATTAGACATTTTGGATTGCCTTATAAACTGATTTGTGAGTTTGATTCTTTTTATGAATTAAAAAAAAAAATCTGTTAATTTCCCAATTCAATGTAGGTTGACTAGGCAGTTCACAGATTGAAACAGGAAGTAAATCTTGTAACTTGAACTCAATTTACCTGGTTATCGTATGTGTTTAGTCAAACAAATCAAGCTGACACTCAAATTGCAATCTTTACTCAGTGTAATTAAACAAGGTCCTTAACAGTTGGTTTTTTGGCGCAAGGCATTCCTTGGATAAGCATTGTTAGGTCATTTGACTTATGCTATGACACTTAGTTTTAAGACTTTTTAGTCAAAATGTTACATCGGGAGATACTTATACGAGGCAGCCTATTCAGTAATCCTAACTGAACAGAGTTTATGATCACTGGGTAGTGTCAACTTTACGATGGAAGTAATAAAACAGTTCTTAGGTTTTCTTGAAGACAGGAGCTTCTGTCCTAATACAGATAAAACTTGACTGATGTAACGAACCATTCATCTTTAAATTGATTTTTCAATTTAAGATTCAGAAATTACACGATTTTATGTTATACTTTTTTATTAAATGTGATTTTTTTTACTTGAAGGGCACCACCTTTCAAAATGATTTTGCTGTCTTGCAAAATTTCCAGCTTAGTAGAATGTATATACAAACATGTTTATGTATAGAGATGTTTTAATTCTATGTACATTTCATACACACACGATTATACAAATACATTTCTATATAGGGTGCCTTTGTGTCACTTGTTGTGTGTTTACCTACGATCAATATTTACAACGGGTCATGATAAATGCATATGTCGGGTTATTAAGTTCAATTTCAATGGATCGGACAATTCAGTGTTTGCCATTACACATAACCATTATAAATGTCCGTAGACTGTGTTTATCCGCAATCATTCAGAGTTCATCGTTACAACCACACCCTCTTTATATAGCAGTCATCGATCTCTTGAACATTTCCACAATGTCAGCAGGAAATGGTTTTATCACAGTTGACAGCTCTATTGTATACCTACCCGTAAATACCATTCAGCTGGTGTACAAAATGATTTATCAATTTTTCCTAGAATAATTTGAACTATCAATTTCTTTTGACATGCCTTGAATCTTTTATTAGTGTATTTGCATTTTGTTTTCTCACTTACATTTCAAATTGTTGTCAATGCATAGGAGATTAGTTTTGGCCATTTTAGCATAGATTACAATATATATACATTTTCATAAATGAACTGGATATTAATATATACACAATTTTAAGAGTCTTAATGTTTTAAAAATCATGAAAAACCTATGGAAAAATTTAAATGAGACTGTTATCTGCTAACAAGACTAATTTTACTTGTCTACTGATCTGACAAAAGCCATTGTTTGTCCTCTAGATCTGTTATAACCTTTAACATTTTTGCCCTACCAAACTTTACGAACACTATTAATATACCTGATCTTTATAACAGCTTTATTGTTGCATGATACTGGTCACATGACGGGGCAATACAACATCATGTCGCCCTCACACGCTCAAGTTTTCCTGATCATAGTTACCTTATTATGAGCCTCTATAGAAAAATCTGCAAGAGCCACTACAATCTAGTTCCGAATGACCGAGGCAGACCACATTGGCGCTTCAACCTGATAATCTCTACTATAGTGTTATTGTTTTTATATTTTTTTTCAGCATAATAAAACATGTGTTGCCCTCACAGTAGGGAATTACGATACTCTGTTTCTCCTCAAATCCCCCAAAATTGACTTATAGCATTGCTCATCTTTTAGTTGACTGTTAATATTGCTAATAACCCCTTTTATGTGTATATTCTGAATTTTCTAACATCATTCCGATCCCCCATTAAAACAATTGCTTTTCCCCATAATTATTATTTTTTATTATTTTGTAGCTTTCATAGACCGGTCTGTCACAGCTGAGGTTGAAGTACTGAATATTGAAAGACTGGTCATGACTTTATCAACAACTGTTCGAGAAACTGAGACACAGAAGGTAAAAAGATATTTTTTTAACTTCAACATTAATTACAATTGATAAGAAATGGAGCTTTGTGAGAGTTTAAGAAGAAAATGTTGTCTCTCAATAAGATTTCAGACACATTATCACTATTCACTAGTGATGATATACAGGGACTACCTTTACTGTGGTAAAGATATCAGAAATATAATATCTCTACTAGTGATGATATACAGGGACTACCTTTACTGTGGTAAAGATATCAGAAATATAATATCTCTACTAGTGATGATATACAGGGACTACCTTTACTGTGGTAAAGATATCAGAAATATAATATCTCTACTAGTGATGATATACAGGGACTACCTTTACTGTAGTAAAGATATCAGAAATATAATATCTCTACTAGTGATGATATACAGGGACTACCTTTACTGTAGTAAAGATATCAGAAATATAATATCTCTACTAGTGATGATATACAGGGACTACCTTTACTGTAGTAAAGATATCAGAAATATAATATCTCTACTAGTGATGATATACAGGGACTACCTTTACTGTAGTAAAGATATCAGAAATATAATATCTCTACTAGTGATGATATACAGGGACTACCTTTACTGTAGTAAAGATATCAGAAATATAATATCTCTACTAGTGATGATATACAGGGACTACCTTTACTGTAGTAAAGATATCAGAAATATAATATCTCTACTAGTGATGATATACAGGGACTACCTTTACTGTAGTAAAGATATCAGAAATATAATATCTCTACTAGTGATGATATACAGGGACTACCTTTACTGTAGTAAAGATATCAGAAATATAATATCTCTACTAGTGATGATATACAGGGACTACCTTTACTGTAGTAAAGATATCAGAAATATAATATCTCTACTAGTGATGATATACAGGGACTACCTTTACTGTAGTAAAGATATCAGAAATATAATATCTCTACTAGTGATGATATACAGGGACTACCTTTACTGTAGTAAAGATATCAGAAATATAATATCTCTACTAGTGATGATATACAGGGACTACCTTTACTGTAGTAAAGATATCAGAAATATAATATCTCTACTAGTGATGATATACAGGGACTACCTTTACTGTAGTAAAGATATCAGAAATATAATATCTCTACTAGTGATGATATACAGGGACTACCTTTACTGTAGTAAAGATATCAGAAATATAATATCTCTACTAGTGATGATATACAGGGACTACCTTTACTGTAGTAAAGATATCAGAAATATAATATCTCTACTAGTGATGATATACAGGGACTACCTTTACTGTAGTAAAGATATCAGAAATATAATATCTCTACTAGTGATGATATACAGGGACTACCTTTACTGTAGTAAAGATATCAGAAATATAATATCTCTACTAGTGATGATATACAGGGACTACCTTTACTGTAGTAAAGATATCAGAAATATAATATCTCTACTAGTGATGATATACAGGGACTACCTTTACTGTAGTAAAGATATCAGAAATATAATATCTCTACTAGTGATGATATACAGGGACTACCTTTACTGTAGTAAAGATATCAGAAATATAATATCTCTACTAGTGATGATATACAGGGACTACCTTTACTGTAGTAAAGATATCAGAAATATAATATCTCTACTAGTGATGATATACAGGGACTACCTTTACTGTAGTAAAGATATCAGAAATATAATATCTCTACTAGTGATGATATACAGGGACTACCTTTACTGTAGTAAAGATATCAGAAATATAATATCTCTACTAGTGATGATATACAGGGACTACCTTTACTGTAGTAAAGATATCAGAAATATAATATCTCTAATAGTGATGATATACAGGGACTTCATGTACCTTTGCTATTAGAAAAATTATCACTTTATAATGTATGGGATCACCTATTATTATTACTCTTTATATCAATTTTGCAGCGTTAAAAATAAAATTTGTTAAAAAAATGAATTACTATGAAGGAATGTTTACTGAATTAAATCTGTTATTCATAAACAATTAATCACAGAGTTACTTACATAGTGTTATTCTATGCTGAAAGTTTCAAAATTAAATAACCCCTAATTTTGATATCTTCATAATAATAGCAGTTAAAATAATAAGACTTTTTGATGTTTGAATATAATAAACAGGAAGTTCAGTGGTTTTATTAAAATAAAATGATAAAGTCAGTGGTTTCTTGATGAATATCAAGTATATATCATTGGTATGGGATAATTGATGTTTTCACTCGTGCTTCACACTTGAAAATAATAATATCAACATCATCCTATTCTCGTTAAATACATTTGAAATTCAATGAAAATCCTGTATTTTTATATACAGACATTAAATATTATATACTAGACAGGTACTGATCGAGGCACCATTTTGTATTAGGATGTTAACAGTTATAAAGTTATTTTTCTTTTAAGTACAAATATTAACTGCAACTATTCGCATGAATTAATATACAACCGCTATTTAGCATGGTGTACATATACATCTTTAATGAAGTATGATCACCTATATGTGTGTTTATATTCTCAATTGTTTCTATTTATGTCAGGTTCTGATGGAAGGATCAGCCAGGCTTATGATACCAAAGCATTTGGCTAGGGGGAGGTAACCCTTGTGAACTTGGCTCAGGAAATCTCTGAGAAATTGTTTTGTCTATCAGACTCCCCTTGCTACAACTCTGCATGAGTTCTTATCTAGGAATTTGCCGTATGGTTTTATTTACTGGACAAAACTTACAGTTGCAGTGTTTGGGTGAAAAAAGATCTTCAAAATGTACTTATCCTCTAGTCCGGACTGTGTTCAAGAGCAAATGAGAAACATGTTGAATGAATAGATAGAATTAGCTGTTGATGACAGAAATGAGTGGTGAAATGATTCTGTTTTAGTTCTAGAGTTTATCACAAGTCCCCTTTATATGGACCACTGAGGACACTTAGATATGAGAAATAGTAAAATGCAGATATTTACTACATGTTGAATTATTTGACCTTTCTATTTTTTTGGCCAGATATGTGCACGGTGTGAGATTTTAGAAAGATTTGTAACACCACGATATGTGCACGGTTATATATTTTAGAAAGATTTGTAACACCAGGATATGTGCACGGTTATATATTTTAGAAAGATTTGTAACACCAGGATATGTGCACAGTTATAGATTTTAGAAAGATTTGTAACACCAGGATATGTGCACAGTTATATATTTTAGAAAGATTTGTAACACTAGGATATGTGCACAGTTATAGATTTTAGAAAGATTCGTAACACCAGGATATGTGCACGGTGTGAGATTTTAGAAAGGTTCGTAACACCAGGATATGTGAACGGTGTGAGATTTTAGAAAGATTCGTAACACCAGGATATGTGCACGGTGTGAGATTTTAGAAAGGTTCGTAACACCAGGATATGTGAACGGTGTGAGATTTTAGAAAGATCCGTAACACCAGGATATGTGCACGGTGCGAGATTTTAGAAAGGTTCATAACACCGGGATATGTGCACGGTGTGAGATTTTAGAAATATCCGTAACACCAGGATATGTTTTGCATCAAAAGTTTGTGAATGTTATTGCCTTCCATTTAGTTATAAATGACATCAATAAATTTTAAAATCAATAAAAAAAATGTTTGTTTTCATTCGTGTTTTATGACAAGGATGAATTTCCTGCTATTTTGGTAGATTTTGTTTGTAATGTTTTGTTATATATCTTATATCATATGAATCCACTAACCAACGTCAGCCATATTTGTTGATGTTTTGGCATGATCAAGAAACGTATAAAGCCGTTATATACCACGTCTCTGCCTGATTAAAAGAGTAAAATATGCCACGTTAACCTTTTATAGTTAACTAGTATTAATATTATAGTATCATTCCATTTGTGCAAGATTATCCCAGATACATCTTTAAATGACCGTAGCTGTTGATAGGACGTTTAAACCCTTATAAAAACGAACCAACTAACAGAGATTTCTCCATGCTTTTCTTGTGCATACTCCACCCTGATGGGTTGTGCATGCATGTCTCTCCTACTTCTGACTTCTGTCCAAGTCGTTGATTTCATTGTTTCAAATATTGACCATAGAGAATCATTAATCCTTTATTCTAAAAGTCTTTTTCGGTTAACTAGTTTTCTTTGTGCCAGAAAGTGGAGCCTTGACCCGTATTCATGAAACCATTCTCGTGCCCTCGTTCAGATTTTAAGCCGAATTTCTCGTTCTGGTGAAAACATTGAAAAAATATATAATCTGTCAATGATTTGGAGACTAAAAGACGACAACCGTTTTAATTACTATATTTGAAGATTTTTACCGCTTTGCTTGATTTCAGCGAGTTTCAAGAAATTTGGTTTGAGCACTCAGAATCTATAATTGCTTCAGCATGAGAACGATTTCATGAATATACGCCCTGACGGTAAAACGGATGGAGACTAAGTGGAATTCCGGTACAGGTGTAATAATTAATCGTCTATTACAGTACAATGAGCAGGTTGCATTTAATCAGATACCAATTTGTTCCGAATTTCTAGTGTTATATTGGTGTTGACTGTTATGCTAGTTATGTTTCAAGTTCATATCGTTTTTATGTAATGTAATAAATAAGGTATTGTATAGGTACTATTTTGGTCAAATTTTCTGGTAATAAATGAAATCTGCACTGTGCTGGATCAAGTAAAAAAGATAACAATATCAGATGATGTATTTGGCAATAATTTTAATCTTTCGTTTCGCTGCCATTTTCTGAACATTTATATATAAAACAATTCTAACAACATCTAAAATATAACATATTTGTTGTGCAGGATGAAAAACAAGTCTGTTGTCTGCATCATGATCGTGTGGATCCATGGCTATTAGTTACAGGGTCGTATGCGTTGACTGTCATGGGTTCGATACAGAAACATAGTTACTAGAATGCAACCTAAATACTAAACAAACCGAAGTTAAATATGAAGCCTTGAATACATGTAGCTGTGTGTATTCCGTCTTTGCGTATTGCAGAGTTATCTTCTCTTGGGAGCGGATATTGATTGTTACGTCATGGGTTTGTGTGAGAAAATTGCGTCGTTTTCTCAAAAATTGATGACGTTACTCTCACAAACAAGTGACGTAACAATCAATACCTGCTCCCAAGAGAAGATAACTCTGCAATATGCAAAGACGGAATATCAATATTGTGAGAACAGAAACGTGTTTAATGAAATTACTCCAGCATAATATCCGAACATTAAAGTGCCACATCAGGGCTAATTGTTCTTTCATAAGACATTTAGAGCGAAAAGTACATATTTTACTCAATATTTCCAGTTTGGGTGAAAATGATTCAGTTGGAATCCCAATACGGAATATGAGTGCTCTATTTTGAATGTGTGTCTATCACAGACTTGTTAATTTCACGTCCATACCAAATAGTAAAAAGTTAGATAAATATAACTAAGAAATCCAGATGAGAATATAAATGTCAAAATATGGATACTGAAAAAAATATAGAAATACGAGTATTTGAGGTATCATAACGTGAATGTCATTTGGATCACATAAAAGCTTTCAATAACATTGTTCAAGAATATCAAAACTATTACTTTCAAGGTTGTGAAGAAAACGTTATATCAAATAAACATGACTTGAATTCGTTCCTGTAAGCCCTTATTTTCACGAATAACACGTTTCAATCCTTTATCACTAGGGCGTATTCAAAATGATGATAACAATTCTGTACCTGCCTGGTGATAACTCAAAACCTGCGTTAGATGAAATTCTTTAGTACACGTGCCCGACAACAGCCCGGTGTATCGCTCACCTACCTGGTGATAACAAACGTGTGTTTAATTAGGTACTATATAACATGAATCGTTCATCTGGCTTTACTTCCGTGGTTGCAGTGAAACTGCGAATATGACTATTAAATGGCACAAGTGAAATGCATCGACATACCACAAAAAATGTATATTTACAAAATAATTTGTAAACCTGAAACAGCAAAAAGTTACCAATCAATATTCATAAAGTCAAACAGACATACAAATATCGACCTCCGAGTCGCTTAGTAACGAATACATGTAGTGGTTTTTTTTATACAAGACTCATTATATATGCCCTAATGAGTTGCCATTTCCAATAACAAAGTGATCATGTTTTTGTCTTTTGTACATCATTAAACCAAACAAAGACAACTGTATATACAGCGTTACGTCACTGCTATGCCGTATTTGAACAAAACAGAAAAGCATTAAAACTACTGACAGGAACATCGTTTCTTGACATCACCTGAAGCGACATTTAACAATATTGGATTATGTAGTTATTGCCATATAGACTTTACGGGATTATCTAATCTTTGCGGGTTATGTTAATATTTATTAAAAATCCCACAAAACTAAAACTCTACGAATTCAAAACATGGTCAACTTTGTGATTGTCAATTGGTCCGGTTTGATTATTTTTCAACAGACAGGCTAACCAATGCTGTAACAGTGCACCGAAAAGAGCTGAGGTTATCAACTACATACAATAAAAATGTTCTTGAACCAACAATAAAGAGGAATTAATTTCTTAAGTTCTAATCTAGACTAGTCTACGTATTTGTTGATCAAGAGAAACATACTACGAGGTATATTATTATAATAGAATGATTGTAATTGTTTTGTGTATTTGATAAATACTTGTGAATGCTGATGCAACGAGAAACTCCCAGCTGAAGAGTTTTATCCTTTTGTTTAAAACATTAATATGTCCGTGTTTTACTACATGTGTATATATAAACAATATTTACATTTCAGATGGAATGAATCGCCATTGTTATTTTTAACAAAAATATTTACAACAAATATTGCATGGACGCAATATACCATTGTCATTCTCTCCCCAGCTTTCATGTCGTAGAATTGAGTCAAACTGGTGAGAATAATGGATACACGTCAAGGTAGTTTTACCTTATGCAAACATCAGTTCAGAATGTTTGGATTCATGAAAACTGCACCACACCACTTGTCTTAATTGTCAATGTCAACCTTTGGTAGACTTCATATCTACTGCCCTGAGAGACCTACCCCTTTCGACATGGGGTCATCTAGTTCTATGTCTACCGACACAGTGGAAAGCAGTCGATAAACTGCAGCTTAACTTCTATCTATGGTTTATATCACTGCTGATAAACTGACCACGAGAAATCATTTTCGTTTCAACCAGATGTCAGCTATTTCAACCCGTTTTCAGCTGTCTATTCTTTATTTCACCCGTTTTAATCCACATCACACACAGTAGGTTCAAAAGTTTTTCGCCTGTTTGACCTGCCGCAGGAATTCCTTGCTTCGTGGATTTTCTTCACACTCCTGGATGTTATTTGGAGGAATGATCTCGTTGTATCTAAAACGCACACAAAAATATAATATCAATACACACTTTCTGTACAATATGAATAATAATAAAAGCGTTTGTAGTTTGTAATTAAGTGTTTAATGAGAGACGTATTTAAATCTTTCCAGAGATATTTACGTTTATTTATACATCATAAACCGGGATATTTCGGCGTCGCTAAAAGACGAATGTAAAAAACACACGTGATTGTACTTATTATAGATACACTATGCCATTTTTTAATTACAATGCATTATATCGGTGATGCTAGGGGCAAAAAAAAAGGTTGAAACCTCAGTTGTTTTAAACTACTGTTGAAACAGATGGGGGAGTTGCATGAATAAGAAATTTAGAAATTAGAGGAGTAAAAATTATTTAGACGCTTTGTGACCAAATCGGTGTTAATATACTGTCGTGTTCCTTTCCTCATGTGTTCAATAAGTGAAGGGGATAAATAACTAAGTTTTTATCATTTTAAAAGTCTTTGAAATATGAGAGATTGCCACACTGTTCTACTGTCTACAACTCACCGAGTCCAGTCTCCTTTACATATGATCCATGGACTGATATCTACTTTTTGGTGAAGTTCTGGTGAGATCTCGGGGCTGATGAGATTTGGTGTTCCTGCGCTTTTACCTCTGGTGATTAACCTGTTTGCGGAGTCATAACAACAGTGCTGCGCCGCAAGTGTGTCTGTACCGGGGACAAGTTTGGACCGGATGCAGTATTGTGCCGCTGGTTTGTAAATGGCCAGAGCCTCGTCTGCTCCACTGGCGTCAAGCCACAGGTAGTGTTGTTTCTTCTGCTTGTCCCAAACCTTTTCATTGTAGGACAGGTGGAGAGGGTAGGTACAAGGACAAGATGGCAGGTCTGTCTTCTCGAAGTACTCGTCGATCACTTCTCTGTTACAGTCCATCCACGTCCCACAGTTGTCCACCTCTGTAGCAAAATAAAGCAATTAACATGAAAAGAGTAATATTTTCTCTGAAACCTGGCTGGATGTCAATAATTTCTTTTTAACTTCTCCTAGGTAAGATTTGTAACACGCTTTCCTAATGTAAGAGTTGTAAGAACTAAAAAAATAATCATTAGACTATATGACAAGCAAAACTTACAAAATATATTATCATCGAAGGAACTGAACACTGTGCGCGATATGGTTCTTTTAGTGAAAGATTCTTCAACTGACGTAGGTGAGCTTACAAAGTGCTTAAGAACTATTTAATGTTTATATACAGTTTTTGTTCCCTGTAATGTTTTCCTATTTGGATGAAATGCAATAAAGTTGAATTGAAAAAGAATTTATGATCATATAAATGAAATAGAATTATACTATATATGAATACTATTGTTGTAATGATATGTGACACTGAAATACAATAAACTGTTTTATACTGAACAGTTTTGTCGGAGACAACGTGACAGGTAATGTAGACCGACCAGATCTTGTTTGATAATCAGCGTATTCATCATTTCCAAAATCGAAAAATAACCTTTAAAAATCGATTTTGTTACTGATGTATTAACAATATAAGTGCTGTAAGGGAAAATCTATTTACTTATTTTTAATGGAAAACGTGACTAATCTCAGATCAAAATGTCATTGTTAAATAGCAGCAATTGTAATGGATTTTGACAAGGATATGTTAATGTTAGACGACTAAAGGGAGACTACTCCACATTCCTTACATATTTTTTGCACTCAATTTTTTTTTCTGGCCTTCGTTTAGGTCCTCCTTTTCTGTCAAAAATGAAGCACCCCACTTGCACATGATATTAAGTTACGTCATGACATTTATGACGTCTTTGTATCGTTGTATTCGTTAGAATTCGGAGTTAAGTGAATATAGAGGAGCTGATGAGTTATCTATTCAAACCTTACAATATATTGATAATTGATATATTGATAATGCTGATAGATTACGGTGTATTGGCCAACTGCATGGTATTTTAGCGCTAATTTACTCAACGCGAAAATTGCCAGCATTTTCCTCGTGATACTTTCTACTTTTACAGTAGCTGGATTATGTTTCATTGACCGTGTGTACGGTAATGATCATGAGTTTGGAGTCTTCTCTCCACTTTAACGCAAACACAACAATAAGACAAATATCCATTTGCCGTACTAGCCCGTTTGCCCTTAGAGAAGCTTTCGTTTCAATGATCATGAATTTCGATTATGCATTCACTAAATTATCATTTCATAACCTTCACCATCTGTTCAAAATGTGTACGTGTTCAACTGGAGCTATCACCTGATAACCTGACCGAAATAGAACACTGTTCCTTTAATGTTGTATTGTATAAGTTATGACACACGTTTCACTACAAATAAATTATAAATCGTCTACCTCCGTCTTTTATATCGGACAATACGCGTCTGTCATGCTTTTAATTGCTGTACAATTGTTTCTCCCATCCACTTGGCTCCTGTGCCATCCACCTAGCTGTTTTCAACTTCTTACTTATATTCATATGAAATCATTTTTAAACTTACCTGGATCAATGTAATCTTTGCCAGGAGGCTTCGGTACAAAATTGTCGTTCTCCCACAGATAGAAACTACTGAAATGTTTCTTGCCACTTTCTTGTTTGCCTGCAATAAAATAAAAACTCGATATGACCACAGAAGTGAATACTCTTTCAAAACATTGTTTTCGTTTAAGATAAAGGGCGATTTTTCTTCGGGATATAAAAAATAGTTTATCTGAACGATAAATTCGCAGAGCAGATTCTTGCAAAGATTATTTTCGTCATAACCCTACGGGGTTTTATTTTCTAAATTGCCCTTGATTCTCAAAATATATTATATTTAAATACTATGTTAAGGAAATATGACAAAAAACGTTTAAAATAATATGAAAATTACACTTTATGTGCATAATATATTTGTCAAACGATAAGTTACGGAGCGTGCTTTTTAACCCTGTTTTTATGAAGGTATTCATAGAATCAATAAAGGGTTTTGCGTATTTGGAATGAAAACAAAGAAAAAATGTGATATCATACAAAAAATATCGACACCTATTCACATGGAAAATATCATTGTGTAGAGTGGTACGCCACCAAGTCATTTTTTACAAAATTCAGGAGAAGCTCATTTTTATAAATAAAGAAATAAAGATACGACTCAGCTGTTTGAGAAGCGAAACAATTTCGTTTTCCGACCGTGATCTTTCCCATTCTTGATAGCAACATCTATGCTTTCCTAAGTTTTGTTATTCAATAGCTTCCTCCGAATATCATCACTCCGTGATAAATTCGACTACTGTCGGACTAGCTTACAACACGAGGTTTCCGAAGATGTAGGTTGATGAAGACTGCGGACAAGTTTTATGGTCCTATCATAATCTCGTAGGGAAATATGCTATTTTTTGTTAGATATGAAGGTCGGCGTATTTATTGTGCTTTTTGGTGAGCCTTGTGGGTTTGTTATCACTATCAGAGTTTTCGATGTAAGGACGAAACTTAACTTGGATTTGACCAAGATTTACAGATATCGTCTATGAAGCAGAAGACGCTTTCCCTTCCGGAACCTCTGGACTTATTATCCTTTTCACGGGTCTCCGTGTACATTTTACATTTGTTCACTTTTACCCTAGTTTTATAGATTATGAGTTTGAATTATGGTTCTGTGGACACTTAGGTATTCTCTTGTTGTTGTGGTTGTTTGTTTTTTTGTATCATACTCAATGCATTGTAACTAATTGTCTAAATGTACGAATATAATTATAAAGCGTATTCATGATGTTCATTAACTTTTTTTTTTATAACATGCCAACATCAACTTACCGTTACCCTCACAAGATGGCATGAAACACACCATCGACTCCACTTCTTTACATGCCATGCCACATTTCCGGTTCCTTTCTTTCTGCCCAACTCCACATGTGGTGCTACATGGTCCCCACTCCGACCAGCTCCACTTTCCTTCACCTAAATGATTATTAAGACATTAAATTTAGAATGGGAAAATACACTGGATTCCGATACAAACGATCACATTCACGCAAGGAATGTTCACAGTAAGATTAATATTGCTATTGTCGTACTTCTTGCAACTTAGCTCCATTAACTTATTTTCCCAATTTTTATTACTTTCAAATTGAGTTCTAAATCTATATAATGCAATATACAAGTTTGTATGACACTAGGGATATATTTCTGAGGTACTTCAACAGTCTTCTTACTATGTAGTTATTTTAATTGTTATGTGACAGAATATACAAATTAATAGCAATTCATCAAAAAAATAATCAAAATCTATCCAAAGATACATTAGTGATAAGTACTTGTATACAAAAAATTCACTAATATTAAAATCAAATACATAGCGATTGGTTTCCTGGAAACGTGTACTGCGTCAATAAAAAAATCTTAAGCATTAATATAAAAACATTAATATAAAAGATTTAAAAAAAATCGTTTATTAATTAGAAACTAAAACGTGTTTTAGGATATCTGTAACGGTAGCGATAAAATTGATTTCGTAATTATATCATGCGATAAAAATGTTTGGTGTTAAAATTTCACGGATTAAAATTATCTTTTTTCTTTGGTTTCCTATAATATAAATACTATTCTACTGAGTTGGCAACTATATAAATATAACCCCATGCCAGCCATAAGTTGGCACGTTGAATATAATATTTGCTGATTGTACCACACGAAGATTATACCTCGATAGGTTTCACCCCATACGGAATTGATGTATTCCATTGATATATATTTACCCTCGCTAATTTGATGTGACCTAGAAATATATCAATTTGTTCTTTTGGCTAGACAGTTTATCGATCTTATCATTTTACAAATTGGTTTCGTCATAGATTCAAATAACTAGCTGATGGCGGAATGAGATAAAAAAATATATATCATAAAGTTGATGCGAAGCTTCTTTCAACATTGTTTTTGCATATTTGTCTTTTAACTTAATTTCCCAATGCTTTTAAATTAAATCTGAAATTACCATATTTTTACAACCTCTAATTTTTTCAACAGCATCGTTATAACATATTCAACTTTAGTTCAATTTGAATTTCCTTGAGAAAAAAAAAATGCCTTAGCCCTGTTAAGCCGTTACCCAAAACTCAAACACAATATCGCCTCACTCTACTGGATGAAAATCATTAGTGTAACCTTCATTTGTATGATGTATTTCATTACTTATTCAAATTAAATTGATTTTAGAAGACATGAAGTAACAGGTTCTTTAGTCAGTTTTTAAATGTTGAATTGAAATAATATATAGTTAAACCAAATTAAAATGTCTGCGAAAAGCTTGCTTTTCTGAAATTGTAATCGTCATTTTCATTTTTATTAAGAGTTTCAAAAAAATGTCCGAAACAATACATTTTTTCTTAAATTCCGGGGAGGTCTTCCTAATCCATTTTCCCATGAGAAGCATCGCACACTGATATATAGAACCGTGTATACGAGATTAGGGACAAGATAAAGCACATTTGTTGAACCTTTCAAGTATTAGGATTTATTTTACTTCCTCTATGAAAACTATGACAACTATCATTTTTGTTTTCAATTTCCATGCGAGGTCCCAAAAATCCCTTTCTGGCTTTGGTGTGAGAAGAGAAGCCAACACTCTTCCAGAGCCAAGACTGCTCGGTGTCTTAGCATGCTTTCCGTGGCAGCAAAAAAATTGGACGCCCTTTTCTAAAAATGCATCCGCCCCTGCACATTACATTCACAAACAATTACAGTAAGTTTGTGCCAAAAATTGATATGAAACATTCGAGGAATTAATTCATTATTTACGTACGGAGCCTTTCGCCTAAATACAATTCCTTCGCTATATTTGATATATTTCAGATTAGTTTAATGTGTTTTTCACATGTTTCTACCAAACAAGATATTACATCTATGAAAACAATCGCAATAGGATTTTAAATTAAAAGCAAATGATTTAATAAACTTTCAAAATGAGTGGTTATCAGAAAATCATAAATGAAATGCTACATGCTAAGATTTTAGGAAAAAACAAGCAGAACTTCATATGAGTCTATTAGTGGATATAGTTTGTGTCTGGTAAACTAATTAACTATTACAAGAATGAGGAATTCTAATTTCAAAGGACGTGTTGGTTGCATGCAATATACCATGTGAATCTTTTTATCTGCTCTTGGAATTTCTTAATTAATAAAATTTTGATATTATTGTAGTTTTTGTGATGGATACACTATACAATGTTTTGAATTTGCTTCTTTGCCATAGAAATGACGTGCTGGTGTGTTTGGTACGATGTATTATGAGAGGTTCTCCTAACACAGTACATCTAGCCCACTACTTGTACATTAAGATAAGGCATCTCAATGAAATGTTACTTCGCAGACCCAGACATCAATCACAACACCTCAACACTCTCGCGCCCCTCCTTCCTGACGCATCTTACAAGTTTACCTCATTTTTACGTTCATGTTTGTGTTATCGGTGTTGATAGGTCGCTCATAATACATAACAGATTAATGAAAAAATGAGAGGTAGCCAAACTTACATAAACTTCCACAACCAATTTGATTACTACCAAAGATGAAGCCAAACTTCAACAAACATGAATGCTATATTTGAAACAGTTTATAGGTGGTACCTGTATTTCCTCTTACTCCAGGAAGGTAACCAATAACAGGCCCGACTGTTTTATGATATCACAACTGAAATATAATCCTAAAATAATACTACATCACCTAGACGCCAAAATAATAAAACAGTCACAAACACACGGCATATTTTAGAGATTTGTATCAGATCCTCATATACATTGTATATGATAAAGTTTGAACATTGTGCAACTAGGTAAGGGTCGAATGCAGATTTTTGGTGTGCGTGTGGAATGTAGGGAGCAGGTCATATTTTCTATTCCCATGAAAAAAATATGTAGTACCAAAGATCAAGGAATGCAGTGCCGTTAACAATTTAACTTTACATGTAAAGAATTAATGTAGTATTTTTCAAACAAAATACAATGTAATATCGTCGCCTATGTGTAGTGTCTGTACTCTTATACTATTGCATACGTCCCTATTAAAACACATATGTAAAATTGAGTATTTTAACCATTTAAGAAACATACAAAAAGGTTTGGTTCGATCATCCACATTATCGACTATCCAATCCAAATCAGTTTCCAATTAGATTAACCTATTTTGACCAGTTCTGTTACCTCTAACAGTCACTAACTATTGAATTCGGTAGAATATCTACACGCGTTCTTTAGAATAACTTAAGCTTTTGCTTGAACTCTTGAGAGCGGTTTCGCCAGCCCGTGGTGGCACCTGTTGGTGATATAACGTCTAGTTTGCCTTGTTAGTGGTGGCAATATTGGTGTTTTGTCGATACCTGTCTGATGTTAGTGAGCTGCGGCAGACTCGGGCCATGATAGACAGCTCGGACGTGGAACCTGCCTTCATTAGTCTACTGTCGACAAATACCTTGCATTTCCGATACATAAACTTTGTACTTTACACGACGAGATATCCTCAGTATGTTTCAGAAGAGGTTTTGTAAGTTTACTTTTTAAGTTGGTTAAATGAAACATTTCTGTTAACATTATCAGCTAAGTGATGAGAGGGATATTTTGATGGTCATTATTACAATACATCTACTGCATGCTAAATGAACTACTGTAGATTGACAGGGTGTAAACAATACCCTACCATTCAATCAAACATGATATCTGTGTAAATACTTTTGTGAGACTAAGCAATGACTTTTCCAGTTGTTCCTTTATCTTCAATCGACGCGGCTGCCTTTTATAAAACGTCAATACACTTTTTGAACGAAATAATATTTTGGCGTACTACTTCGAAAACTACTTGAAATGTTTTTCAATGATGTTCATCAATTAAAATAGACACCATATCTACCATGAACAATTGGACAGCCTGATTTAGTAGTACACATAATACTCTCCTGATTAAATAAATGACATTTCGGACGGTTCTAAAGCCGAGAAAAAAGGTAGTTACTTTGCTTTAGAAAAAAGAAACCTATCTTTTTGAGAGAAAAAAATAACTATCTCAATAATTATCAACCTCTTTGATACAGTTTTATCAAAAATTCTTTGTGAATCACATATTCTGAGTCTTTATGATATCGACTGTCAACAGCGTTTAGACAATGATTATTCACATGATTTACGTCATGTACCCTAAATTCTTGATAATAAGTCTGATTTGAAAATACGCCGGCTCTTAAAACAAGTCTGTGATTCCTTACTGTCTAAAGGGCTCTGAAAATAAGACGGCATTGAGAATACGTCGGGTTCAAAAAATAAGCTTGGGATTTTACAGATCTTAAGAGTATCACCTGTGTTGTTAAAATCTTAAACAGATCATTGAACACACTGCCTTTCGTCGAATTACAAGCATTATTTAACCATAACACAGTACAACTTGTTTCTTCTTGTATTTTCTTCCCACCTACCTCTATTCTTTCCGCCCGATGGTGGTATCTTCCGTCTTCCATTTCCCTTTTTGTTGTTTTTCCTTATGGAATGTTGAGTTTTATCAATAACACTATTATCCCCAACACTTAACGTCACCTGTGGGGCTCCATTACCTTTATGAGTATTCCAGTTACCTCCCTTTGCGAGCTCTTCTTTCGCTACTGTTTCTATAATATGTCGGATAGTAGTTGGTTCTAACACATTGTCAAAATTAATTTTCTTCTGTTTTCTTCTCGATTTCCTCCGCTTTGTATTTCTATTTTTATTTCTGTTTCTTTTATTTTTATGTCTCTCTGATTTGGAGTCTACTAAAATTTCATTATTTTCTGTATCCAATACATTTGGATTTAAAACATCCTTTTGTCCATTTTTTAACTTTTGTTTTCGTCGACGTTTGAATGGATATTGCCTGCCCGTGTGAGGATCATTGAATTGTTGTACTGTTCTCGTATAAAAGTCTGTGAAGTTTGTAGAGCTTTCATCTGGTTTCCTTCCTGTAGAATTGGCCTCTTCATTCTGCAAAAATAAAATTGATATTAAACACTAATTGTACCAGTCACAGCATTGCAACATACTACATATGTATAGTCATATCACCATTAAAACGTATACAATGTCTCCATCTTTATATATTCCGTCTTTTCGTATTGCAGAGTTATCTGCTCTTGTTAGCAGGTATTGATTGTTACGTCATTGGTTTGTGAGAGTAACGTCATCAAAACGACGTAATTTTCTCGCACCAACCAATGACGTAACAATCAATACCTGCTCACAAGAAAAGATAACTCTGCAATACGCAAAGACGGAATATCCTGGACGACAAGGACAGTAGGATAGTTTGATCATAAATACTCGGCACCATTGGAAAGTAAGTTGATATTTTGTTTTTTCGAATGAAGGAGATAAATATTGTATTAGTACATGTTCTGTATCTAGTTCGTCCAAACCGCAACTATTTAATCGTTTTGTGATACCTTGATGAAACAAGAAGCATATTTACATCTCCGACCCAAGGTGTACAGTGCACTGTTATCGGATTACCATGATATTCACATCTTGGTCTGATGTCAAATAAAAAAACATTAAATACAAATATGAAAATTGGCTAATGAGGGGAGAATTGTTCTTGTTAACAAAAACCAATATTTTGTCATATTCCACACGAAGCAACTTTTAACAGGTACATAGCAATAATAAAAACTTAACATACACCACGTCAAAAATAATGTAATCAGATACAAAAAAAAAAAATCTCGATCTTCACTTTACAATTCACATAATTTTACAGCATTTAGTAAGCCTTGTAATTTGGTACATGACTTCATTTACATTCGATTCGATTATAATCAAACCCATCAATTATTTGAAAAATGAAACCAAACTATGTCAATACTAATTTGCTTGCATCAAAAACCCATTTACATGGATGATAATTAAATTAGTTAAAAGGCAAAATGTTATTTCCTAATGGCTTTTTAAATGTGTGTTAAGAAGCTGCGCAGATTAACGTACTCGTTTTCTTTATATAACAAATAATAAAGTGCATTCATATAAATTGGCGTTACCTATAAGTATGTTATCTTTGATAAGGATAGTAATTACTAGATACACATGACATAGCTAAATCTAGATGTATTCACTTTTAATGTACAAAGATCTGCACGTAATGCTTCGTAACTGTTGTCTGTATAATAAGGAACAGAATTATATGGTACTTGAATCTAAGACTAAAAGTTAGTTTCCATTTCTAAGGAACTCAGAAAGAGATAAGATGAGCTCCTTTCTTTTAATCAATCCCAAGAATAATAACCCAGGAATGCCGAATGATTCCGATTGAATCATTGCGCATTCCTTTTCTAAATGTTTCTGAAGCAGAACAGTACGCAATACATCAGGCAATGCAATTACCAGGGTTTTAATTAAATACACTTGATACTATGCAACAAAATAAAAAGTAACATTTCAATGTAAAAATACAAATAAATATATTGATATCAACCTCGGCCTCTGGTTACCATCGTGTGGTTTCGTTTTAAGCTATCGGATCTTCTCTGTAACACAAACAAAGTTTTATGGTTGGGTTATCGAAGAACATGGACATTTGTAGTTTTATACTTCAGCACAAGGTGAGAGATGACGGGAACGCTTGGCTTCAAGCTGAGCTCACTGAATGACCCTCCCACCTAAATCTGCACGTGCGTTCAACTCGCGCGCGTGCAATGGCTTTACCAGGGACATACGCACAAAAGGTGATGATTGATAGGCCTCAATCCAACATACCCGCAATGTTTAGTGACTTTGTGGCCATTTCCTTCTGGTTAAAGACACGTTCCTAGATAATGATTTCAAAACTGTTTGACAGTATGGTTACAAACGAGTCAGTGATAACCGCATCGGTATAATAGATAGGATGGTCTTGAAATATCGTTAAGCAGTGCCTCTTTGTGTGTAAAGACTTCATTACACAGTAACATATTTACCGTTATACACATAAAAACATGGCAAAACAATAATACAAACGTTTGCGAATTAATTGAAACAACACACAAACGAAAACATTATACATTTGAATTTATACACAACATATAAGATAAAGCGGAAATAATTCTACATGCATTAATTTAAAACAACATAACGATGAAAAACTATTCAACCAAACAATAACCTGACAATAAACTTAAACACTTCATATTTTTTACATTAATGTCTTCATCATCTACTTTTACAGTCAGTGCACCAAATTAATGCCAGGCATGGGCTGTAAGTCTATGTGAATTTAAGTTTACCACATACATGTCAGGGCATGGACTTTTCGGTTTCAGTAAACTAAGTTACCACATAAATGTCAGACTTATACTAATACAGTCTATATACGCATTTGTGTTACCACATAAATTTCAAGCATGAACTATAACAGTCTATGTTTATGTATAATGTATACATAACTATATTAGTCTATGTATAATCGAAGTGACCTCATAAGTATCGAACATGGACAATTTCAGTTTACGTGAATTTTATTTTACCATATAAATATCAGTCATTAACTTTTTCAGTTTATGTAAAAAATATTTTAACACATAAATATCAGGCATTAACTATTACACGCTATGTGACTTTTCAGCATAGACTTTTACAGTTTATATTAATCCGAGTGACCTCATAAGTATTAGCCTTCAACTATTTCAGTCTATGTCAATCGGAGTGACCACCTTAATATCACACGTGGACTATTATAGTTTAAGAATTCGCCACACACGTGTTAGACTTGATCTATTGCAGTCAGTGTGGATACTAGTAGTAGTACCATCATATCGTCGGTAGATCATTGTACGGTAGTTTGTGCTCATAATCTCCAAACAGTCATCAGGATATCTACTATACGTCAATAAATGTTACAAAAATGCTGCAAACAATTTAGGGAATAGTTTCCTGAGGTTACAAGTGTTCTATCTCGCATTTAGGATTAGTGACTGCGGTGATCCCGCGGCTAAACCTAGAACCGCGTCATCGTAATACTTTTAGCGAGATGAACTTCGCAGGTGTTTTAGTTTGTTTATCAATCACTGTAGAAAATAAATGACCCTTATTTAATCAAAAGACTCGCCACATTGATGTAGGATGTCGTTGGCAGCCGTCAGACGCATTTCTTGTTGTACCTCATTTGAAGTAGCGCGCTCTTGGCACCAACATCGATGTCGCACATTCTCGAGGAAATCTCGTTAAATGTAGGGTACAATATCTTGTTCCATAACTACCATATGTACTTTTGAGTGAATAAATAATATGTTTTGTCGCCCATTCTGGTGGAATCTTGTTAAATATGCAGTACATGATGTTTACTTTTTAGTTCACATAGTCAAATGTTAGCATGGCGTATTCTTAAGCAATGTTCATATCTTAATATCACTAGCGTTTGTATAGCATTCACCTTTTGATTGTGCCACAATAAATTGATATTCTGGATGAGGACATCGATTCGAACTTTGATTATACAGGTGTAGGTGCAATCATATGTATGTGGCTCACCTCCATCTTTCAAGATACATGTGATACACTGTGCTGTCACTAAGATTTGCCACATAAATCTGTTTGAGAAGAGGCATGGTTCAATATATATACACTTTACTCATCATTAATTTGAAATTAAATAGTACTCTTTTAATTTTTTAAAAACAAAATGTATCATTTTAGGGATTTTATGCACTTCCCTTCTGTTTTAACAGTGGTTTAGACAAATTTAGATTTCCACCTTTTTGGCCCCTACCTAGTACGAAATAGCTGTTAAGTGCAGCGTAATTCGTTTTTTTGGAATCCTTTATATATTACCAAATTTGATGCATTGTAGGTGAAATGTTTGTGTGTCTTTCATTCATCTTACAGCAGTAAACAACTGTAACTGGTCAATAAGCAAGAAAGTTTAAGCTGATTGTTTCAGTTTATCCAGCTGTACAATTGGGTATCAGCACGCTCGGATGTTATTCGACTGGCGTCCTTCTGGAAAATAAACCAGCAGCTTCACATCACGTCACATAAACATGGTTAAACTCCGGCTCTCTAAGCTGCTAGGCTCAGAAAGCGTTATTTAAATTTAAGGATGTGTTGCCGCTTATTTATGATATGCATAAATGTGTTATGTTTTCATGGTTTTAGTTTAAAATGAACACAAAAAGTGCGACAAACGAGTCAATTTCATCGCATTCTATTACAATTCAAAATCTCACCTCGGAGTAATGTAAGCTGTTCCTGGGCCACGCGATTATATCACGGGTCTACTGCCAACAACGGTATCCCACGCTTTACAGGCTCCGCGAAAGGCACAGTCAAAAATTCATAAATAACTATGTATTTTAGTGTACAGAATGCACCTCATAAAAAGCTTGGCAGTTAAAAGTTATGATACTGTAGCTAGGTTTTATGAAGTCACGTATGTGGCAAATATTCGCGTGAGACTATGGTCATGTGTCGTTGAGATATTGCTTTTATTCCCTGAAATCGGAAGAGGCATTGCATTGTTGAACCAGTAAAGTGCGTGACATAGAAAGGCACGGAAGGATTAATAGGCCAGGAAGCTATCTAAGCGTGACATAGAAAGGCACGGAAGGATTAAAAGGCCAGGAAGCAATCTTAGACAAATTAAGGCCTATGTTGCATAGTGTCAGATAGAGTCATTCGTTAAAAAGGAAATCAAACAAAATTGTTACCTATTTCAAAATCAATATCCAATATTCATTCCCACTTGTCTTCAGTTATCTGACGGAAATATTCTACAAAGTATAAAACATGGCACCATCGAGAACTGGGTGAATGAACGTGAGACACACGTGTGCTAGTGTCTTTAACGTTAGGTAATGTCTAAAATAAATTACACTGCATTATCCATCGGTTGGTAAGGGCCAAAAGGGTCGAAATCTAAATTGATCTAAATCACTGTTGAAACAGAAGTTTAGGTACATATAAACCTTCAATTACACGGATTAAAACATTTATAAAAACACTATTTATTTTCGAATTAA